GTCATACTGCTGGTTAACTAGGTCTCAATCCAGCTTAACAGGAGTCTATTGAATGTGGTCGGACTTAGTCTATTGAATGTGGTCGGACTTAGTTCACAACTTCATTGCTGTTTTTTCCCCACTTGCCCTTATTGGTGACCAGCATGATTAGCAGCAGGACCACATGCCTGCTAGTGTATTCCAATTGAGTTTCAGTTTTGGAAGGGGGTTTGCCTTGAGGGGACCTGACCACTTGCCTTAATGACTCCCTAGGAAACAACCTGCTTGTTCTTGTAGTACTCAATTGGACTGCTGTTAATGTTTTTGATTTTTTTCCTGCTGGTCTTTCTTTCAAGAAGTATCTTCTGTTCTTCTAGCTGCTCCAGACTGGTCTGCTTGTCCTTTCAAGTGGAAATGTCCCACCTCAGAAGATTCTGGATGGGGATAAGGATTCCACCTATGTTCTTGTGCAATGCAAAAGCTCTGGAGGGAGCCTCCCTCACTGGGCAAGTTCTAGCCCCATTTTAGGTATTCCAATCAGTTATAGGCTGAAGATGGACTTACAAGCTTTCTCTGGTGATGTTTCTGGCTATTCCTCTCTCTCCCCTTCAGGTGTCTATTTTACAATAGTAGGCAAGGGAAACCAAGATTCAAAAAGACAGCCAAGCACCATAACATCATTTCCCCATTTTACCCATTGACACCATGCCTCAATCTCTGTATCCACGAGCCCTGTTGTTCAATGGTTGTGCTTACGTTATTTACCTCTGTCCTATTTAGCCCATGTAAACCTGCCTAGCTATTCTCCCATCTGCCTTGTTTTTCCTTCCCCTTCCCCTTCTAGTGTGCGCACCCCGCAGCACCCAAACTATCCCGTGTCTATTTCCTACCCTGTGCTCCACTATCCTGTGCCTATTACCTACCCTGTGCTCCACCTTCCCCTCCCCATACACCTTGGTAACCAACAACAACAACAACAACAACAAAATATATATATATATATATTCTTAAACCTTCTCAACTTTGTCCTTAGGTGAATACTTCCCTTTTGATTTTGAATGACTGACCATTACATGGTGAGTGTACCTTACTAGTATTGTCTCCCTATAAACCTATCTGTTTCTTGGCCAAAAACTGAACCACGAGAGTGAATTCCTTTCCAGACCTAAAGGAGGATCAAGGACCATAGTCTCAGGTCCCTCCAGTCTCTTTCTGATCAATAAGCCCAGTCTTATTTATTTCCTAAACTAATTTTTGAGTTTTGTTTCATGTTTTCTATTGCTCTATCTGGGAACTTCAAATGTAAACCTTTTCAGAGCAGTTGGTAGATGTAGCTTGAGCACCATCTAGTTCTTCTGGTTTCAGAGTCTAGTTTCTATATTTTGTACACGGAGAGACCAATAGCTAGCTGCATCTTAGATGGCTACTCATGAGCTTTTAAGATCTCAGATGCTACTCACCAAAGTAGGATGTAGAACATTGTCTTTATGGACTATATTATGCCAATTAGCCATGGTGTCCCCTCAGACAATGCTCCTGAGCCCCAAGTCCCAGCAATGCATTGTCTTAGGTGCTTGATAATATCTAAGAAGTTTTCTATTTTGGCCTTTATATGCTCCACCACATTCATAGTTTTTGTAATACTCCCATACTCACTT